TTTGTATTTTGGGGTCAATTTTTTACCCTTACCAAATTTTCGAATAATGGCCTTGCAGAAAAGTGGCCGAAAACCTGCACTTCCAGGCCTATAACTTTTCTTACAGGCATCCGATTTCAAAGCGGCATGCTTCTAAATGATTGTGGGTTAATACTCTAAAAATCTGTGTTTTCAGCTCGGTTTGTATTTTGGGGTCGATTTGCCATCATTTTTGTGATGTTACCCCTTACCAAATTTTCGAATAATGGCTTTGCAGAAAAGTGGCCGAAAACCTGCACATCCAGGCCTATAACTTTTCTTACAGACATCCGATTTCAAAGCGGCATACTTCTAAATGATTGTGGGTTATTGCTTTAAAAATCTGTGTTTTCGGCTTGGTTTGTATTTTGGGGTCGATTTTCCATCATTTTTGTGATGTTACCCCTTACCAAATTTTCGAAATGTGGCTTTGCAGACAAGTGGGCGAAAACCTGCACTTCCAGGCCTATAACTTTTCTTACAGACATTCGATTTCAAAGCGGCATACTTCTAAATGATTGTGGGTTATTGCTTTAAAAATCTGTGTTTTCAGCTTGGTTTGTATTTTGGGGTCGATTTTCCATCATTTTTGTGATGTTACCCCTTACCAAATTTTCGAAATGTGGCTTTGCAGACAAGTGGGCGAAAACCTGCACTTCCAGGCCTATAACTTTTCTTACAGACATTCGATTTCAAAGCGGCATACTTCTAAATGATTGTGGTTTAATCCTCTAAAAATCTTTGTTTTCGGCTTGGTTTGTATTTTGGGGTCAATTTTTCATCCTTACCAAATTTGCGAATAATGGCTTTGCAGAAAAGTGGCGAAAACCCGCACTTCCAGGCCTATAACTTTTCTTACAGACATCCGATTTCAAAGCGGCATACTTCTAAATGATTGTGGGTTATTGCTTTAAAAATCTGTGTTTTCAGCTTGGTTTGTATTTTGGGGTCGATTTTCCATCATTTTTGTGATGTTACCCCTTACCAAATTTTCGAAAAATGGCTTTGTAAATAAGTGGCCGAAAACCTGCACTTCCAGGCCTATAACTTTTCTTACAGACATCCGATTTCAAAGCAGCATACTTCTAAATGATTGTGGTTTAATCCGCTAAAAATCTGTGTTTTCAGCTTGATTTGTATTTTGGGGTCAATTTTCCATCATTTTTGTGATGTTACCCCTTACAAAATTTTCGAAAAATGGCTTTGTAAATAAGTGGCCACAAACCTGCACTTCCATCCGATTTCAAAGCGGCATGCTTCTAAATGATTGTGGGTTAATACTTTAAAAATCTGTGTTTTCAGCTCGGTTTGTATTTTGGGGTCGATTTTCCATCATTTTTGTGATGTTACCCCTTACCAAATTTTCGAAAAATGGCTTTGTAAATAAGTGGCCGAAAACCTGCACGTCCAGGCCTATAACTTTTCTTACAGACATCCGATTTCAAAGCAGCATACTTCTAAATGATTGTGGTTTAATCCGCTAAAAATCTGTGTTTTCAGCTTGATTTGTATTTTGGGGTCAATTTTCCATCATTTTTGTGATGTTACTCCTTACCAAATTTTCGAAAAATGGCATTGTAAATAAGTGGCCGAAAACCTGCACTTCCAGGCCTATAACTTTTCTTACAGACATCCGATTTCAAAGCGGCATACTTTTAAATGATTGTGGGTTATTGCTTTAAAAATCTGTGTTTTCAGCTTGGTTTGTATTTTGGGGTCGATTTTCCATCATTTTTGTGATGTTACCCCTTACCAAATTTTCGAAAAATGGCTTTGTAAATAAGTGGCCGAAAACCTGCACTTCCAGGCCTATAACTTTTCTTACAGACATCCGATTTCAAAGCAGCATACTTCTAAATGATTGTGGTTTTTTTCTCAAAAATCTGTGCTCTCAACTCGGTTTATATGTAATTTGTAATTCTTCTGTAATTACAGATACTTATTTTACAATGTGAGTGAGGCTCAGCTTGGTTTGTATTTTGGGGTCGATTTTCCATCATTCTTGTGATGTTACCCCTTACCAAATTTTCGAAATTTGGCTTTTGCAGAAAAGTGGCGAAAACCTGCACTTCCAGGCCTATAACTTTTCTTACAGACATCCGATTTCAAAGCAGCATACTTCTAAATGATTGTGGTTTAATCCTCCAAAAATCTGTGTTTTCAGCTTGATTTGTATTTTGGGGTCAATTTTTTACCCTTACCAAATTTTCGAATAATGGCCTTGCAGAAAAGTGGCCGAAAACCTGCACTTCCAGGCCTATAACTTTTCTTACAGGCATCCGATTTCAAAGCGGCATGCTTCTAAATGATTGTGGGTTAATACTCTAAAAATCTGTGTTTTCAGCTCGGTTTGTATTTTGGGGTCGATTTTCCATCATTTTTGTGATGTTACCCCTTACCAAATTTTCGAATAATGGCTTTGCAGAAAAGTGGCCGAAAACCTGCACTTCCAGGCCTATAACTTTTCTTACAGACATCCGATTTCAAAGCGGCATACTTCTAAATGATTGTGGGTTATTGCTTTAAAAATCTGTGTTTCCAGCTTGGTTTGTATTTTGGGGTCGATTTTCCATCATTTTTGTGATGTTACCCCTTACCAAATTTTCGAAATGTGGCTTTGCAGACAAGTGGGCGAAAACCTGCACTTCCAGGCCTATAACTTTTCATACAGACATTCGATTTCAAAGCGGCATACTTCTAAATGATTGTGGGTTATTGCTTTAAAAATCTGTGTTTTCAGCTTGGTTTGTATTTTGGGGTCGATTTTCCATCATTTTTGTGATGTTACCCCTTACCAAATTTTCGAATAATGGCTTTGCAGACAAGTGGGCGAAAACCTGAATTCCAGGCCTATAACTTTTCTTACAGACATCCGATTTCAAAGCGGCATACTTCTAAATGATTGTGGGTTATTGCTTTAAAAATCTGTGTTTTCAGCTTGGTTTGTATTTTGGGGTAGATTTTCCATCATTTTTGTGATGTTACCCCTTACCAAATTTTCGAAATGAGGCTTTGCAGACAAGTGGGCGAAAACCTGCACGTCCAGGCCTATAACTTTTCTTACAGACATCCGATTTCAAAGCAGCATACTTCGAAATGATTGTGGTTTAATCCGCTAAAAATCTGTGTTTTCAGCTTGATTTGTATTTTGGGGTCAATTTTCCATCATTTTTGTGATGTTACTCCTTACAATGCACGGATTCGAGCCCACTCGAGCCACCTAGCTGCAGCATTGGCAACCCCTATGATTAGAAGAAGGCTAAAGAGAAGGCATCAAGCAGACCTATGGATAGGAGGGCGGCATAGAACGAGAGTCCTTCCCCAATAAATAAAATATTATCGTGATCGTCACCAAAATCTCCAATTATTTTTAAATTCAAAAACATATTGATATTTATCGCTGCTGTTATGTTTTTCCATGTTATGTTTGTTAGTCTTTCTAGTCCCTACGTTTTATAGCCATTTAATTGGCTGATTTACGTATAAATAAAATATATGTTATATTAAAAAAAAAAAAACACCTTACCAAATTTTCGAAAAATGGCTTTGTAAATAAGTGTCCGAAAACCTGCACTTCCAGGCCTATAACTTTTCTTACAGACATCCGATTTCAAAGCGGCATACTTATAAATGATTGTGGGTTTTTTCTCAAAAATCTGTGCTCTCAACTCGGTTTATATGTAATTTGTAATTTTTCTGTAATTACAGATACTTATTTTACAATGTGAGTGAGGCTCACATCATCAGGAAAATCTTATATAAATGAACTGAAATATAAAACCTACATTTTAAATGCGGACTAATGGAGGAGTATACGAAAGACTTTACTTCAGGTCAAAATTAAAATTGTATTTCTTATCGCCATCTGTCGACAAAATTGTGATTGTACGCCATCTTTTGTTGAAATTGTCTTTAAATGCCATCTCTAGCGACAGCTGTTGCTGAGCGCCCCTGGCGGAGATTTACTTTTATTTTTTACATATTTTTCTGTTAGTTAACAGAATTATGGCAACGCCGGCATGGGGTGGCTGGCAACGCCGAGATGTGGTGGGTCTTGGGGGGGGCAACGCTGGTCGTCTTGATGGTATGATTTCGGTCGTGAGGCTTGGGAGCGGTTCGTGCGCTTTTCTGAGGGGGTCCCAGGGTCGTGGCGGATGGTGGGGAGCGGGGCGCAACTTTTGGGGGTCTCACACTGGGGGCCGAGTTAGGAAAATCGAGAAATTGGGGAAAAACCGGTAAAGTTCAGTTTGACGGTCTGATAGCACTGCATTTTGCACATGGCAGTGTGTCCACCTTTGGGTTTAATGCAAATAATGCATGGAGTTACGGGACTTTCTGCGTTTTCTCCAAGGTGGTCATACAGTTTTGGCGCCGTTGTTCAAAGTTCTTAAGTTACCATACTTTTGTTTTTTATATAATGGACCTTTCTTTGCCATGCCGCACCTGCGCGCCCAGGTGGACAAGCACCTCCCACAGATGGATGATCCGCGCCGGCCAAGCAGGATCTTTAAAAACCTGGACGGCCTAAGACGGTTAAAGGATCACGGCAGGTGTACTTGATGGTAGACGTCATACACCTGACTGTGGTGGGTACCTAGTCTTGTGAATATTATTTTAACAAAGAATATTATTTTAAAGTAGACTTTAGACTGCCTACCACACCATCCATCCACCACCTGTTCCATCATACTCCGCAGATACAGTGGTTGATATAGCAATTAATGTATTAAATTTTGATTGCTCGTTGCTAATTACAATATTTCTTTTTAAAGTTTAGCGGGTAATTTAAGGGGCATAATCATTTATTTGCACACAATTAAATTATGAAAATATAATTGTTACTGCTAGACATATGTAAAAGTAATACAAGAAAAATAGTTTTAATTCTTTTATATATGTGTTAAACACTCCACACAAGGATGTACCTTTTTTTGGTGTATTAAGAAAAATAGTACAAAAACCACTACAAAACTGATTAAAAGTGACAAACTAAAGTTGTGAATTGAAGATTTGTTCAAGGAATAAGCATTTGACGTTTTATTTAATATCTTTTGCTATTTATTGTAATGCATATACTTTATTTTTCTTATTTCTTTTTACTTACATAAGTTTCTGTTGTAATATTTAATATTAAAATATTGTATTTGAGCTTATAAATTATTAAAACTATGAGCGGGAATGTGTCACTTTGTGTACCTTTTAATTGGTTGGTTTTGTTCCATTCCTTACAAACAAGATTACAAAACGGATAGATCTGCATTATTCCATGAGGTCGGCAGAGATTTACAAAGCGGCATCTACCAATAACTAGGAATGTCGATTTTTGGTGAGGGGAATGTGCACAACTATGAGTGAGTAATATTGGTGCAGATGTTTTCTATACAAATACGGATTGCCTACGAGAAAACTTAAGACTAAAACTAATTTTCGTTTTGTATTTCTTTATAAAATAACATTAAAAATTTTGGTACAGTCATCGGTTATGCATCCGATATTATCAATACTACTAATCGCAATGTGGTTGCTTTACAACTATCTCCCGAACGAGCAGGTCGTGGCAATCTGGGCCACAGCCCGATCAGGGCTAATGCTGTTTGTTGGTTTGGATTTCCCCATATGTACACTGTTATCTTTTCCTAACCTTTGCTCTTTTTGATTATATTCCTTCCATACTTAAATTATATAATAATACAGGCTGTAATATATATTGTTTTCATGTATTGCCTCAAATGCTTTGTAAGCTTTGTCATATTCGTTTACTTAACTAAATTAAAAGCAAAATATCAAAATTTAATTGGGAATAGGAACTAAAAGCACCAGCAAAAACCACACGGCTTGTTGCTCAAACAAAAGGAAACGTAATCCTAGTAAATTAAATATTGTCCTTCGGGGCCCCTAAACAAAAGAATCAACTAATAGTAGACATATTGCATTCAAGTTAACATTCAAGTCCTCAGCGGTGGCAGCGCGTGGCTGACAGGACAATTGGCAGGAACGGCTGCGGTCGGCGTCTCCATCTGCGCCTGAAGTTGGCGCTTGGCCCTGAAGCGTTTCAGCTTGCGCCTGGCCAGGAATAGGTCCGGTTTGAAGCTGAGCTCGCGGCAGGCCATTTGGTGCAGGGCGGGTCGCGGGGGCAGGGACTGGGGGATCGGGTTCTGCTCCTGGTCCAGCTCGAAAGCAGGGAAGTACATTGGATTGGCGTTGGCAGCCCCGGCTGCCCAATCCCGCCACAAGTTTCAATCCTGCCCGGCGCCCCCGTTCGACTGCGTCAGTGGAGGGCCCGTCGCGCTCATCTCGCGCCGCTGGTCCAGAGAGTGGGGCATCCCGGGGCCTGCGAAGTCGTCGTCCATGGAGGAGGACTGCTTCGAACCCACAGACTTGCAGTCCTCGTCCATGGTGACGCCCAGGTGGTGCATGGCAGCCGCCGCGTGGTGGCGTTCCGCCGGCGGCAGCAGGTTCAGCATGCTCAGGGGCAGGCCGGGGAAGCCGCCCGCGAAGTCCGGGTAGAAGCCCTGCGGGTTGAACGGGTTGAAGAGGGCGTTGGGGCCGCCCAGCAGATCAGGCTCCGAACTGCCGCTGCGGGGGCCGCCAGGGGGGCCCAGGGGCAGACCAAGCTCCAGGTCTAGCGGACCCAGCGGTCCCAGGTCCCCGGGATGCGGCATGGAGGATCCGTTCCCAGAGTTCGGGCCTCCTCCTTGGGCGTTGCTCGACCCACCGGAGCCGTTGTTGCTCGCGGAGCCCTTGTCCTTCTCCTTCTCCTTGCGTTCCTTGCCTTTCTCGCTCTTACTGGAGCCGCTGCCGCCCCCGCTGCCCCCGCCAATGCCCATCTGAAGCATCTCGATCGGTGGTCCGCTGATGCAGTCCTTGCGCAGCTGCTCCAGCTTCAGGCTCTTCCCGTACTTGCCCCGCACGTACATGAGCAGGGAGTTGTAGGGGATACCGAAAATGCGCGAGGCCTGCGACGTGGTCATCTTCTTGTTCCAAACGTGCTGCAGTGCCTCCGTCAGTTCTGTGTTGGTCCAGGAGCGAGGGGGACCTCCGCGTGGCGCTGAGTGCTGTCCCTTTGGTCGTGGCACTGCAAGAAATAGGACAAAGTGGATTAGAACAGGGCTTTTCACCAATATGACGTTGGGCAGGGATGAGGAGGGTCTTCACAAGGGCGCCACAGGCACGAGCTTATCGCTCAGCTTACATCTGCTAATGTTTCAATCTCTTGGCCTCATATGCTGCCTAGACAAATTTGCTGAAAAGTCACCCATTGTCTGGGACCTGCACAGCAAAGCAGCCAGCTCCGGCCTGCCTTCAGCTCGTACACACCCTGCTACGATTCTTTGTGTGGCACCTATTCTTGGGAGAGCGATCATTCGGCACTGCCAAAGAAATACGAACGCTGTGGAGGTTCCCATCCTGACCTGCCGGCTCGTCTTGGCTTGGCTCTCCTCTATATGCAAATTAAGAGTGTGCAGAGACTGCGGCGTCACATGCGCCGCTAAAACTCAATTTAGATCCCCAGATATCGCCTGGCACCGGCAAAACGCCAGCGAAGCCACAGGTTCCATTCTTCAAAACCCTTTTGCTGCTTGACAATGAAGGAGAATCTAAAGGCAGCTCCAGCTTACACTAATTCACTGGTTGGTTCGGCGTGATCATATGAATTTTCCTCTATTTGGGAGTCTGGAATAAACAGCTTTTCCGCAGCTGGGGCTTTTGCCTTGGTCCTCGGCAGCTGGGTCACAAGCAAGGTCTGACCCTTCGATTCCAGTGAAAACGAAAATACAGAAAATGTCTGGTCCCAGCGAACTGCAGTTGGCAAGCTTCGAATATGTAGGCTGCCTAATGAAGTTCCACTAGACACAACTGTCGGCTATGTCGGGCTTTTACATAAACGAAATTTGAATTTGGTACAAATCGCAAATCACGTTTCAGAGACGGGCTCAAAACAATCACCGAATGAACAAATAAATGTGAACAAATCAGTTAATCACACCCACACGATTGCGGGTCACAGAGTACGAGGGGATCGCATCGAAGTTGTCAGTATAGAGCTTCCCCAGTTCCTGATTGGTATCAGTTGCGAAACGGGTTTTGCAGATTTGCAATAAAGAATATCGTGCTTTACGCCAGATTTGCGTTTTATTTGCCGGCTTACATTGTTGGACTTGTGATTGCGATTTCAGCATCATTCTGCACGCCTCAAGATGTAGATTGGATAACACTTAAGAAATCTTCTTTGGATATTCTTCACCCTGGTTTTTTCAACATATGATCACGACCCTGGCTTTGTTATTCCTTCAGTGGATGGGCTCTTCAGCACCAGAAAATTAAGCAATTAGCTTTGGCTGTTTATTGTAGTAGTGTCCATTTTATTTTCTTTCACAATTCTCAAGCCCCTGATCAGGCGAATGGAGAGATTTAAAAGCATTGGTCAACATACGTATGATTTTAAAAATGAATGAAATGAAAATGGTAATAGCCAAGCACTTAGCCCATCAACGCCGGTCGCCTGTCAAATGAACTGTCAAAGCAAACAGCTCACATGTAGATTATAAAACCCTATCTTCACATCTACCCCTCTTTTTTTCACTCCATTACTTCTTGTTTGTCAATCAGTTGGCTGGCTGGCCATAATTGATTTGTGAACTACATTTACAAAAATGTGGAGTTCTTATGATTTTCTGGCGTACAAAAAACTTCATTAACTCTCTGAGGTTTCACTTGCTTCGCATCGGCCGCAGGTGAACTGCGTAAAAAGCGACTTACTTCCTCGCCTCGCCCATTTGTCAATCAAAAAAAGCTACGTTTTCGCCTGCGATATGCATAGGTGCACATGTAAGAAACCAATAAAGAAACAAACAAACCATTTCCCGAACGGTTCAACGATTGCATCGGCGCACAGGAAAACCGCAGAAACAAATTTGCCGCCTCACATGATCGCACGAGCGATCAGTGATCGCATCTGGAACGGATCGAGGAGGGGAGGCATATGGAGGGGAGGCGTAGAATGTGGCTTAAACGAAATGAGTGTTGTGAGTGCACTCTTAGCTGATTTTGTGCCGACGATAAGTTTCGAAGGGAAGGTGGTATGCATTTTGTACCACAGTCTTGGTTGATTTCGTAACAGAATTAGGATAATATTATCAGTTATAGTTTGGCTCAGCCACTTACAAAACTGGTTGTGACCCTTTCTATTTGCTCTTCAATTACCCGCAATCGATCCCAGCCAAAGTGTTTTCTTACTGCCCCCAGCCAAAATACGTGATCAAAAGTGCAGCAGATCAAATGCAAGAGGTACAAAGGTAGAAGACTCAGCCTGAACTCTGCAGCCAGAGCGCGGGATCAATCAGTCAGGTGTGAAGTATTGCAGCCAGGCACGGAACCGATCGGCCTACAAGCTCCAGTGCCTCAACGTGATCGACGCCAATCATGTCGAAATGATTTCAAGCCTTCGCGCGGAGGGGAGGTGTTGGCTGTTCCCTTTTCCTGGGGTTCGCCACTGCCTCTCGGGTTAATTAGTTGTTTGCTTGGCTTGGCGAAAGTTTGTTCTTATCCAATTATTCAATGGGCTACTAGTACTTACTTTTTTTTTAAGAAACGGAGGCGGCCCGCCAGCCATGTCCCTGGGATCGCTCATTTCCATTAGCGGATTGTACAGCTTGCCGGGATCCATTCCGGGGGGAAAGAGCCCGAGTGGGGAGTCCAAGCCAAACACTGCGGATGAAAATATTGTCATAAAATATTGATTGCATTATCGCCGACGCTCACAGAATAACTTATATTTATAGCAAACTGCACTTGTCTTATATAAGAGTTACTGCATTGGGTAAATTCAGCATAAGCGACTCATTTTCCGGCTCACTGAAGCTGATTAGCCAGCAAGACAATAGACGCAAACACACTCCGAGAAGCGGTTATGCCGACCGGATGGTAAACAATGGCACATCGTTATTCTATTAATATTTTACGCTTGGAGTGCACTTCTACACATGAGTGAAACAATTGGAGCGCTGATGAGCCGAAGGCGGCAGGAAAACCAGGGAGGGACTCCACCAAGAACCTTCATCCAGCTAAGGAGTAACGCATAATATTGCCATTGTGCTGAATGATTTCATAAGTCGCGCCGCGGACTCCAAGATGCAAACAAACCCGGCAAAACCGACGAGCTCATATACAAACAGAAGGAGGCGAAGACAATGTTCAAGCATATGAATAAGGGGACGTATCGCGTATTTGTAGCCGTATCTGTGTCTCGAGGATGTGTTGTATCTGCAGCATAATGACACAAATAACGAGCGCACATTGTTTGACTCTGTTTTCTGAAGTAGACATTACAACACGCGGCGTATACGTAATGTGCGTTATTTTCTTCCAACTTCTTTTGACTGCGCGCAAAATTAGTGGATTTCTCTTTCAAAATCCTGAAGGATCTCAAGCAGGTAGAGCTTTCTGCCCCCACCACATGTCACAAGCTATTAGTTCAATGATTTTCACGCCGAAAATGTTTCACCAAAAAAATAAATCACATTCTTCATACGAACGACAAACGGTGGTAAATCTCTTACAGGACTGTCTGCGAGCTGGCGACAGGTATGAGCTATGGGGTATCAAACTGTGGGTAGCATAGGCTTAAAGAAGTTGCACCGTATATACGACACGAAACTTGTGCTATAAAAAGTCTGATTGAAAATAAGTACTTTCAAAAAGATCATAAGAGCAAAGTAGAAAATGTATAATAATAGAAAAATATTAATACATTCTTTTTGGAAAACTCTATAACATTTTGACAGGGTAATATATAGTCAACCACTAGTCGGGACAATGATATCTTGAGTCCTGTGCTTTACCGTATCCTTGGCTGGATCGTTCATTGCCTGCAGCCTGTTTATGCAGTAGTTAGCGATTTGCTCGAATACGACGGGACTTTGGTGCGCTTTACTCACCCCTACCCCTTTATTTCCTGGGCTTCGCTGCTCTGATATGTTGGCTGAAATTTTTGTCGCATTAAAAGGTATTGCGCTTCCTGCCTGACTTCCACTTGGCATTTTCGTACAATTTTTCATATTTTTGTGCCTTAATTTATTTTATATCCTGTGTGCGCGCGTCTCGCCTGCATTTACCCTCCCCTGGCCCACACAGGTAAAGGTCCTGGTCCTTGGGTTCTGCCTCTGCTCGACGTGGGCCTCCCCAAACGGATATTATTAATATGAATATCGCGCGACTTATATGCAAAAGTTGTGTGGAAGGACTAGAGCAAGGCAAGGGTAGCCCAACCACGAGACGTCGCCTTCGTATTTTTATTTATGCCGCCGACGCTGCCAAAGTTGTTTGCCAAAAGGTTTAAGTTGTGCGCGCTTTGGCATACTTTAAACACAACACATGGCCAGAAAGGGCAGGAGAAGACACGGAATATTCTGGGGCGGAGCAGTGCTGTCTCCAGCTCGGCAGCCAAGCAACTTAAAAGTCATTTGGCTAAACGTCTGCTGACAGTTTGAACTCAACCCGCTCTGAAACTCACATGTTGGAAAGACACAACATAAATTTCTTGCGCTTTCTGCACGCAACGGCGGAAGCTAACCCAAACCGCCCAACCCGCCCTCTTCCAACCTTTGCACCTCAATTTGTGTTTGCGTTTGTTTCGCCTGACTCCAAGTGACATGAATATAAAAATCATATAAAACGCAATTGAATTTGCTTCGACTGCAGTTCCGCCTGGGACTCAACCGCAAAGGTCTACCCAGACGGTGTTGTCAGCAGAGAAGGGACTGGGGACTGGGGCCTGCCAAACTGTCAAATTATTAGGAGCCCATTGCTTATACGATTGCATTTCCATATTTCTTATTAGCTGTCAGCAGCGCAAACTTTTTATGACTTAATTAGTATAAAAAATAAATCAGTAGACTGACAGGTATGTCATACTCAGAACGTTTAAAGGCCAGTTTCATTTAAATGGAGTCGTTCTCGGGTTCCTGTTCTTAACTGGTCCTATAAGCAGCGAAAAAGGCGAGAGGAGCCTTAATGTGCTTAGGGGCTTTGCGACAGCTTTGCGTGGCAATGCAAGAGCACTTCTTTAAGGATACTCGTCACTTGACGACACTTTGATGTCGCACAGAGGCCACATGTTGCATTTCAGCCAACTCTGGAGGAGTGGCAAAAAGGACAAGCAAACAGGTCGAACGGACTTTTGGGGATGTTTGTTGGGGAGGAAGGACTCTAGTACGTGATGAAAGTGGGCTTGCGTTATTAGAGACTTCCGCCGGGTGTAGACCGGCATCCTGACGAATAACCCAGTGACCTCTGGAGGCCAGTAGGCAAGAGTCAAACGAAATTAGATTCAAACAGAGTACTCACTGTGCGGCGGCGTCAGCGTCATCGCAGAGGACATGCCAGGAAAGGGCAGTGGCGACGGTGGGTGCGGAGGGCCATCCGGTGCATTGAAGTGTCCTGGCAGACTCATCGGCGACGCCGGGGCGAACTCCTTCCCAAACTCCTTGCCAAAGTCCTTGCCGAACTCCTTGCCCAGCTCCTTGCTCAGTCGATTCATGCTCTCCTCGAGCCGTTCGTGTGCAGCCTGTCCGGGACATCCGCTTCCTGGGCCACTGTTGCCCGGATGTCCTCCGTTATGTCCTCCGAACGGGGGCATGCCCATTGGCCCCAACAGATTGCTGGCAAATGAGTTGTGGTCTCGCGGATCCCGCGGATCCCTGGGCTCCCGCTGATGCATTGCAGCTGCCGCCGCAGCAGCCGCCAAGGACATCTCCATTTGGTGTTCCATGTGGTGGAAGGGATGCTCTCCGGCTCCGGCAGCCGCCACAGCAGCGGCCGCGGCAGCGTGCATCTGCGCCTCCAGCGCTTCCATGTGGCAGGGCGGGCTGTCCGGGAGTCCAGGTGGCCGCATACCCGGCGGTGGAAAACCGAGGAGCCCGTTGTTGCCTCCAGAGCAGCTGGTGGGCGTGTGGATGGCTGTGGGGTTCGGGTTGGCGTTCAGTTGGCGGATGTCCTTCAGGGACAGCATGATGCGCTGGTTGTTGTCCTGCAGCTTGCTGCTGTTGTTGTTATTGGACTCACAGTCGGACGAGTGGGCGGTGTTCCCGTCCTTGGGCTTCTTGGTGGTGCAGAGGTCCTCGGGCCCGTCACTGGGACAGGGTGAGGGGGTGGGCGACATGGCGGCCGCGTTGGCAGCAGCCACGGCGGCCTGTCGCCTCAGCTCATTGGTTGTGTGGATAAGCTCTTCAATGTCCTGCTCCTCTTCCTCTTCCTGGTCCTGATCGTCGTCGTCCTCGTCGTCGAGCTCGAGTTGATGGTGGCTTTCGTTGAGGTTGAGGCGATGATCGGGTTCTTCTGGCTTTTGCGACTGCTTCTCCTTGGCCTGCTCCGTCGACGATTCCGCCGGCGAGGAGCCGCCTTCCTGCGCCTCACTTTGGGTGTGACCCTGATCATGATCCTCGTCGTGATCTCTTTCCGAACGCTCGAGTAGCTCATGCTTGATCACAGTTTGCAGGGACTCCGCATCGGTCTTGTTCAGGGCAAAGTCGTGGGGAACATCGCCGGATCGGCGGCGAGGTCGTGCTTGTTTGCGCCGCGGCATGGGCGAACTGCCACCCAACTCCTGGTCGCTCTCCAGCTCGCAGTCCTGCTCCCGCTTGCGGCGCAGACTCAGCGCTGCCATGGCGTTCGAGGCAGTGCCAAACAGTCGGGCGGAGGGCATCATCAGCTTTCCCGTCGCCGTCGGCCGGGACATCGAGGGCGACTCGTCGTCGAAGCTGGAGGACAGCATCGTGGCGTCCAGCATTCCGAAGTCGTCGGGAGAGGCGGCCGGCGTGGGCGTGTGCTCCGGCACAGAACTCTCCACCAGCCCCCGCACCTGAAGCGACTCTCCGGCCTGGATGAGGGTCTGCAGACGCTGCTGGGGCACGCTGATCTCTCCGCGGTACATGAAGTCCACGATGGCCTGCACCACCCAGCCCCGGAAGTCCTTGAGCACGATAACCGGGTGCTTGCAGGGCGTTTCCGCGAACACGCGTTGGAAGAAGGGCGAGCAGGCAGAGAGCACCATTTTGTGGGCCCGAATGGAAGTCTCCGCACAAACCAGGGTCACGTCCACCAGCGTCTTGGTCTGCAGCAGTGCATCGAAGGCTCGCAGGATGTGGTTTTGGTGGTTGTTCCAGCGCAGACTGTAGTGATCCTGTGGGGCCGAGTTCGCCACGGCTGCCCCTCTGGAGGGGGCGTGGCCGGCGGACTGTGGTCGGAAGGAGTCTCCGTTTCCGTCGTCGCCGTTGCAGCTTGACTCATGTTCAAGGGCAGAGGTGGAGGCGTGGGCGGCGTCGTGGGGGGCGTGGAGTGCATCGGGGCGTGATCGTTGGTCGGGGTCTTGGCCAAAAGCGGCAGCGGTAGCGGCAATTGGAGCGGCAGAGGCAGCTGTGTGGGCGCCACCTGACGTGCGAAGTCGGTCATGGGGAGCGAGGTCAGTTGGCGGTGCTTAATCAACTCCTTGTTGGCGTCCTTTAACATGCCCCGTCCCAGTCACGTGCAAGGTGCTTCGTTTCTCTGAGAAAAGAACAAGCGGGATAGAGAGAAAGAGAAGGTTTTAGGCGAGAGACGAATAAGCAAGCTTAAGGATAATGCCAGGCATAATGTATTCGTATTCATGACATATGCTGTGAGGCATATCTGAAGTACGGCACACACAGTGTGATATGTTAATGAGTCGCGGCATATATCATTTTTCTGGCTCTTGGGCCAAAGAATATGAAAGAAAAAGGCAACAACAGGCGGCTGGCGCTGGGGAAAGGAACACAAAGCCAGGGAACAGACGCATGAAAGGTGTAGCAATCACAGTTGCTACGTGTCGTGTCGCATATCCTCGAGGATATCACATGCAGATGTGTGATGTGTGATAATGGCTCATTGCCCCCTCCCAATTGTGTCAGCATGCGTCTGCCTCGGATTTTGTTTTGCTTTGTTTAACCGTGCCCCAAACAAGCCACCGTGGAATGAATACAGGAGCAAAGGAAGTGGCTTTGGTTTTTTGCTGGGTCTTAACTTTTAGACACAGGCTCATTTAATGAAGTATTTTAAATATAAATTCCTTGGTGATGTAGTGCTGACTTAAAGTACTGATCAACACAGCATTTTCGTAAAGTTTGAAGCACTGATTGAATGCCCTGGATCTGCTACAGTTAATTTTATGAGCAATTGCCACATTCAGTGCGAGGGATCTAATTAATTCAGCGACTGTCTGGCATGGCTGCGCACCCCTTTTACTGCGCACCCCTTTTACTCGGAAGCTGCGTGTGTGAATTTTTAAAAGAGTCACCAGCTGCCTGACTACGTCCGCTAGAAAACTTGGAAGTCCACCTCACACTGACTTCTTCAGGCAAAATTAAAAAACTTTGGTAGGAGCGCTAGCAAAATAAACATTTTTATTTGCCGTAGTTGCTGCATCTTTGGCTCGCCCGTCGTCTACCTTTTGGGAGCGGTTGCACAGTAGTAAGTGGTGGGCGGACGGGGCTTGAAACCGCATATTAACACATGCTTCTCCGCGCCAGGACTTTTTGCTGGGAACGAAACCAGAGCCAAAGGATAACCACGCTCCAATGCAACAATGTGCAATTAGCAGCAAGCTGCTAGGCGCTTACCTCGCTCCTTTCTCGGGTTTGGCTTGCTTTTTTTCTCGTAACTCATTTGCGGTTTGCGGCAGCTGAGACAACATTTTTATTTATTTATTTTGCTTTAGAGTGGCGACAGGTAAAAGCAAGTTAGTGGAACGCCGAGAAGAGAAACTGTCAAGTTTTTTAATTAATGGTAAAGTAAGTCAGTGCCTGGCAAAGGATCTCACATTAAGGCGACTCCCGCATTTTAAATATTTTTATCGTCATCCTTTATTTGTCATAGTTCTAGCTTTAATCATGAACATTTCACTTTCGATTGTATCTTAACTCCTTTTTATAAGTGCACACGGATTACCTTTTCGCAAAATGTCTACAATGTAGAAAATTTTGACAAAAATGACTTACTACATTTTGAAAAAATTAACGTTTTAACCAAGTAGGTTTAAAATGTTGTATTTGAACCCAACAAATTGGCACATTTACTGATTTTTGTAAAAACCATACACCATTTTCCAAAAATGGAATTTTATCAACCCTACATACCATTCTAAAGTTTGCAGTATATCTTAAGTATCCGTATGATTCGTATAGTTTATTTGCACTTGCACTATCTATCTGTCTCTTGAAAGTTATCACTTTAATCCTTTTATCTTTAGAAATTTGCATACCCTTAAATCAGGTGCAACAAATTTAGGTAGTCACCATTCATTAGATTTGCTAAGAAATGCGAGTTCACGCAGCTCGATTGTAACACGTTCTGGTTGAGGGTCTACAGCAAACTGAGCTATATCTATGCAAATAAATGCACAGCAAGTTGGTAACGGTGTTCACCTATGAGCGAGCGGCCCTCACCACACACCCCGCACACACGCAACCCTCATAAACCACCGTGCACCACGCACCACACACCACAGTATGCGTGCATGTGTGTGTCGGGGTGGGCAGGATCGGTTGAGATTCGCTCTCGCATTCCTCTCACTCTGCTGGCCTGTCCGAAGGATTCCCCTCTTGGTCGGCCGTGCAGGTGATAATCAGGTGCGTGATCGTGTATGTTGACACACACATACAGCAAATAAATAAACAGGACATAGTGCAGACCAGCCGAACAGGTATATCGCGACGGGCTACGTATTTTTCCCTAAATGGTTGCTGACAGGTCGATTTGAGGCCCATGTTTATGTTTATATGACCATATCGATCCTTTAATTTGGCTCGCAATTTTCGGAGAACTGATTTTGGGTTTCATTTGAAATATTTCGCGCATGTTTTCGTTTATGATGGGCGCGATACCCGTAACACTCTACACACAACGTTTATTTCCACACGAAACTTACTTGGTTAGAAATTCATTTTGGGAGGCTTAACAATTTCAACTTTTTTCAGTCAGTAAATGCTAATTAAACAACGAAGTTCAAGCCTAATACAAGTTCAAACAGCGATTGATATTCACATTTATTTTTGTGACAACTTATGTAGTCCAGAGTTAACTGTATTACTTCAAAAAAGACTTTTGAAAGGATCTGTTTCTTTATTGATGGAAATTTAAGTATTATTAATCGTGATTTAGACAATGTCTGAAATATTTTAATAGTCTCATCAATACAATATTTTTAAGCTTTTACTCTTTAACTCTTTACAAAATAGTACAAATAGTAAATCTAAAAAATAGTCCTTTACAAACACTCCCTAATTGTTTTAGTCTCAAGCTGTAATACACGAATGTGCGCTGTAATACACGAATGTGCGCTTATTTTTTGACATACCTCTTTAGTATAATAGTTTTAACCTTTAACGACTGAGCAAAGCTAAGTTGTAAACTCTTTTCAAAACTATACAAAATAGTAAAAGAAATTTGTTAAATCTAAAAAATAGTTCTGTATAAACACTCCATTATGGTTTTAGTCTTAAGCTGAAATTCACGAGTGTGCGCTTATTTTATGACATACTTCTGATCAAATAAATATTTGTATTTATTGGCGGCGGCGGTGCAGACGAGCGCTGCACATCGTAACGGTTAACGGGTAGCGGCTAACGACTAAAGGGTAATACCCGCGTATGTGGGTGTCGCGTGTATGTTTCGAACCGTTCAAACGTCACGAAGCGACTAATTCAAATGAATGTCGGCCGGCCCGAAAAAACACAGCTACGGCGTCGCAGCCAACAGAAGCGCCAGCAGCAGCGGCGGCAGCGACGGCACACATCCGCTGCTCCCCACTGCCACCCCCAGTTGCCACGCCCCCTGCCCGCGTGGGCTGCAGCCGCCCACGTACGCGCACACGTATGAGCAGCGGGCCACAAACAGTCGGAGCCTGCGAAACAGAAATCACATGAGGATACGCCGTTCCGTTCGGCAGGACGAAGCTGGGTCGGATCGGATTTGGAAGCTGGCGTCGAAGCTGACAGAGGCAGCGGCGGCGCAGCGACAGCGACGTCCTTACTCCTTCATCAAATAAAATATATATTTTCCCTTATCACAACAGCAGCTGCGTGGGGCCAGCGGAGGAGGATGTCCTCGCACGTCACGTACACCGAAAAAAATTTATTATGTATATGTGTATACGAAATACATTTGCATACACATGCGTAGCCGAAGCCGAGCACTGGCCGAGTGATACGAGGCGGGCCGAAAGGACACGAAAGGAGCAAAAAAGAGCACGAAAGAGCGAAGCGCCCGCACACCGACATCCCTTCGTGCACACGCACACATCGACACACACACACGCTCACGTATTCATGTGGAGACTCTAAATGTCCGTAAAGAGTAATAGTCACCACCAGACAACAGCAACAACGCAACAACAACAATAACTGGAAGGACTCCCACTCCCACCCCAGCGGTGTGTTGGCCCACATGGAGCTTGCTCACGACCCACAGTTGTCACACGTTGGCACCGCCAACTGCGCGGGAGTGTAACATTTTTTAACAGGCCCCCCAAAAGCGCCGACGTCGCTGTTGCCGTCGCGGTCGCAGTCGCAGTCGGCGTCAGCGTAGACGGCAACATATCCCTTTTTTGCCAGCTTATGGAAATTGAAAAGCTGCAAGTTGAGTTTTTCCCGCTGCCGCTGTCGAGTGGGGGAAAGTGGCGCAGTGAGCGAGAGGGAGAGGGCTGCGAACGAGACAGACGGCAGTTCGGAAAGAGAGCGCACGAGACCTGCTGAACAAGCAGCGTACGTGGGGGTGTGTCTGTGTGTGAGCCCCACACATGCACAACTCTTCTGCTCATCTGCCCGGGAAAGCGGCAGCGCAGCCTTTCAAGCTTTTCCAGATCTGACGCTCTGCCGCAGCGCTGCCGCGACTGCTGGTGCTGTCCTTGTCGCATGTGCTCAGTTTTTAATATGTTATCTATTCCGTGCCATGCATGGGGCTGCCTTTACATAGGAGCTTGGGGAATGGAGCGCAAGGACCTCGGCGTTGGCGCAGAGCCACAACAAAAAAATCATGTACACAACATATTACACACATAACAGTCACAGTACATATGTATGCTGCATATGTCTCTCGCTCTCGGGCATGTGTGCGAAAGAGAAATGAAAAACAAAAAATGTTTGTATGTACATCGCGAAGTTCGGAAAAACCAACCCCTAGCTGAGCGCGATTTTTGTGGAAATCGGAAAAGCGGTTGTGGGAAATTCCGAACGGAAGGTTGAGGGTGGCTGGCTGTGTATGTCAGCATGTGTGCCTGTGTTATTGTGTGTGGGCCATATGAGCACGTTTTTGCAACATTTCGATTTGTTGGCGCAAATCTCTCGCTCACCAATACAAGAGTACATGGGACAGGATACGGCACACAGGATACGCGTATATACACACGCCCACATATGTGCTCGGACGGATTAGGCGAGGTCAGCCGTATGTTGCCAGCCGAACATCGACATTGGTCGCCGCAGGATCCTAAGAGCGAGACTGACGTATGAAAAAGATGGAGGGAACTGGCATGTGTGGTAGCTCTTCCTAACGAATCCATGACCCTCGTTCACCACTTGATTTTCCACTGCCCTTCTAAGCAGACCATGTTTTACCTTTATTTTGTGAAAAAACGCAAAAGGATTGTCTACTTTAAGAGCGCCTATTCGGCAGTTTTCCTTTATTCTATTCATATTTTGCTGGCTTCGCCTCATTTTTCCAGCCTACTCTCACTGTTTTTGTTTGCCGTCCTTTGCATTTAATTATGTTTTCTCTTTGGTAGTTCATTTGCATTTTATGATTTGTTTGCATGCGCTTTGTTTCCAGCGCTCCGTTTTCGCCATAAATTTTAATTGTCTTTCTTCGATTTTTACTTTTGCGCCATTCTTTCTCTGGAAGTTCAGTGGGGGAGCCTGAGGAGCGGATGTCTCCGTGGCTGTGGCGCCCACTTTAGGTCTATCCCAGGCGAGTGGCACCTTTGTCGTGTCTTGGTGGCTCCTCTTTTCTCCCGGACGCCCAACCACACTTGTAATTATGGGGCCAAACTTGCTCTTTAAGTACAAATACGGTTTCCTGTTGGTTTGCCTTGTTCAGTCTTTTTTTAAATTTTGCTTATACTGATTACCAATGTTTCGCCGAATTAAAAAAGGAGAGAAAACTGACGGAAGCCTTATTTTTGATCAGGCTTACCTGAATACCAAAAAGGTTGAATTCAGATCTGATCAATGTAAGTTGAGGGGTAGAAATCATATCGTATTGCGAACTAAAAACCAAAACTGTACGCATGCGCGCATCGATTATGCAAATTCATGGGACAGAAGTGCCGCGTTTCATATGCAAATGCAGTTCAGACAAAGGACAAATAAAGGATACGTTTACACATTTTTTACACCTTACAACAAATATAGAGAAAAGGAACGTATTCAAGGGGTGGCAATAGTCTCCGCCCGGAAAACGGATGCACCTCTCGGGTGCGTTTGTTTCAAGGGATTTATTTGGAAATTATGCAAATTAAGTTTCCAACTATTTCGATTTTCGATTCGAGTGAACATAGTTCACCAGAGCTGTTCCCGATGCTTCGAATCGCTATATGAGCGCGTGCCTGCCGCGGTCTGCTTCCAACAGCGGCTGCTGCCTCTCTGCCTCCGCCTCTGCCTGCGTGGGCCTGGTTGCAGGAGCCGAGTTGAAATGTACGTTTTACATTTCCCGAGCTCGATTTTCCTCGCTCCCACCCCTTCCGCGCGATTTCCGCGGCACACGTGCGCATGTCTCCGGCCCAGGACGCAGCTATATTTTCCTTTTTTCTTTGGTTGCTCAATTTTTCACGCTCGCGAAAATGAGCGGACGTGGCGCTGGCGGAGGAGGGGCTGGGGGTGCGCCCTTTTTCTCTCGGGCTTCCTTTCCTTCTCCTTCGTTATCCTTTGGCTACCAAACACATAGAGGGCTTGTCGAGGATGTAGTGGGTGGAAAGCGCTTGTAGGTGCGCCTGCTTGTGATAAAGGGGTTCTTGACTCGCCTGATAATTATGAAATGTATGAAATTGCCTTTGTATGGGTTATATACGAGCCCCGCCAAGCGTGCGAGTGCAGGGGAGGCGGGAGCGGGAACGGGAGCGGGAGCTTTCTGGTCTGTTTGCTACTCGAGATGTTCTGTAGTGGTGATGAGGGGGGGCAGGGGGGCGCAGGATCCGCCATAATGGCCAGCATTTACTAATTAAGAGCTCACAAGTTGGCCGCCGTCCGTTGCCAGTGGCTCGGCGAAGCGTGTTTCGAGAGCTTCTATCTGCTAGTAACTTCTCATTGGGGATGGGGTCAAAGGAAGGCGGCGGGGATGCTCCTGGGATAGGGTCATTATTGATGCATGTTAA